TGTGAAAGCTACCTTTTTGATGACTTAGTCATAGAAAAATATTTTAAAGGAGCTTTGAAAGGCTTTTTTAATGTTAATGATCATCAGATATGGCCAAAAAAACTAGGAACTTCAAATAGAGTGCCTCCTTAATACAGCATATACATAAATATAATTTCTAGTTCAATAAATATGAGAAAACAAATTGCTTTAAATCAACCCTGCCACAGACGATCTCTTTTCAGTCCCCTTCCCATGACAGGGGGAAGAAAATAACCAAAATTGTACAATTGGCTTGACTGAACCAAACCATCAAAGGAAACTATTAATTTGCTTGGTTATTTTTTGAACCTTAATATATTTGCAAAAATTCCTAGGAAGTCCCAGATTTACCTTTGCAAAATTACAACTTTTAATTTAAGGAAAGGCAGGGGAGCCAAAACTGTTGAACCCATCCGATAGATACATAAAGTGCTAATTGTCCTAGTCTGTGAAGCCATTGTAGGGTTTCACAGGAGCATTGTAGAGTTTTATTTCATAGCATAGCAGTCCTTGTTCATGGTAAATATCTTATGCAACTGCTGCTGAAGACTGTCTGCATCATGTTGCAGTCTTGCAGCTGTGAATATGAATTCATTCCACGACCTCAAAACATTCTGATAGAGCGTTGCTGTTTATCAGAAGCTTTGTTACCTGAAACTTACCACTTAAGAAATCAATTGATTCTGTCTCCCATATCCCCATCTTTCTTTCTCTTCTAATGAAAATATAAAATGTGAATTTAAATTGTTTCCTCACAAGATGATCTCAGAAGTGGGGTGTACTACAAAATACTAAATGTATCAGATCACTGTGCCCACAGTAATGATGTTTTTTTAAAGGAGACACTCTGCCACGTTGTTGCAAAGGAATTACCAAGGAAATGTCATTGAATTTAGGTGCTGTTAGGAGTGCTTGGTGATGAACATGGAAATAATCCCACTTTTAGTAGGCACACTGGCTGCTAAAGAAAAAAATGCAGCCTGTGCCATCAAGACTTACTTGTGCAAACTCTATAAGTGTCCTGCAAGGGAAATGTGGCATCGCCAAACAGTTTGATGAAATTTGCATTTATATTTGTTTAGAGTTGGCGGAGACCTTCCAAACCATTTAATCTACTTCCTGGTGAGCAAACTGAGACTCTGAGAAACCATAATGATTTATGTAAAGTCATGACACAGTGCCAGACAGAGCAGACCTCCAGGGCCCAAGCTGTTAAGGGCTGCTCCTTCCAGAGGCTCACGGCCCTGCACTGGGGAGACCCGTGTGCCACTCTGCCAAGTAGCCCCAAATGTGTAGGTCCTGCTGGATGACTTATGATGAGGAAGCTGAGGTGATCCCCTCCTGCCCATGACTTATTTCTGCAAAATATGGGGGTGTAACTATGGAATCACAAACAGGGACTCTGTCAGTGGCTTGAAACTATTCCTCTCCCCTTCTGATTTCTAATTAGCTATTAGAGAGCTTTAGGATTTGGGGACTTCCAGTGCATATTTGAGCAGTCTTCTCATTTCAAGATAAACTAATCTTAAAATGCAATGCAGTTGTCCCAAGTTGTATGTCTGTGCTTGGAGAGCATAGGAAGAAGATAGGATGCTCGTGTGTGGAAAAGTATTCATGTAAACTACAGTTATTTTCTAGAATTATGAGAGTGGGTCTACTAAGCTTCCAAATAATAGCTAATACAAAAGCTGAAACTTAGAACATATTTACTCTCTGCCAAGTACAAGCATAATAATTTAATTCTAGTAGAAACTCTATTAATCTGTTAGCATTATCATCCCTTCTTTGCAGGTTAGAAACTGAGGCACAAAGAGATTACATATGTTTCCCAGAGTTACCCAGCTAGAATTTAGTGAATCTGGAATTCAAATGGAATGCCCATTCTCTTAGCTAATAATCTGCACCGACTCTTGGCAATGAAGACTGATGGTAGAAAACATGCTTAGAAGGGCTTCTGAGGAGTGTTGGGGTGATTTGCGCATCATATTGACATAGCTAGTGGTCCTGGTCACCAAGGGTTAAGGCCTGTGCTGATCAGTTTTATCTGGCATTACCAGGTAAAATTAAAATGCTTCATTATCATTCTTGTCCACTGGAGCTGAGAGAATGGTCTCCTATTGCACTGGTTTGTCCAGGTTTCTTACCCAGATCCATGTGCCTGCCTCTAGGTTACAGCTCCCAGTCAGGAGCACATGAAGGGAATGGGGAGGAGGAATGGGAAATACGACTAAGAATCACACAGCAGTGGAGGCAGGCTTTGTGGGGTCCGGAACTAAGACAATTTTAGATGCCCCTTTAAGAAAAGAATACCATACTGCAAATGCAAAACTGGGGAAAGGACCCTGTAAGGGACTTAAGCCAGTGAAGGAGCTAAAGCTTGACCTTTATTGTAAATCCACCTGCTTGAGGGTGGAGGCAGAAAGAGCTCCTGCTCTCCCTGTGCCCAGTAGACTGGAGAGTTCTTCAAGGAAACCCTTCAGGGGAAACAACAGCCAGCTGGGGAATATCAATTCAAGTAGGGGGAAACTCTTATTGTTTAATGGGTAGAGAGTTTCTGTTGGAATCACTAAAAAGTTCTGCAAAGGCTACCCTTCAAATTCCTACAAGAAACACATTGAAATGGAGAGAGAAAACTGATTTGCCTTTGAAAATCTATGAAGAAAAAAATGGGCCACAGCCATTGGAACATGTTCTTTGGAATTAGTCTTGCCTTCACTTTAGCATGGGTCCACAAGGACATTCTAAGATGATAGAATAAGGTCAGGTGCTTGGGGAATTCACAGAGAAGACTGTTGCCCCATCTTCCGACCTGCCCAGGCAGATAAAGCAAGGGAGGAGTGGCAGCAGACATCAGGAACGTGGTCAGAGATAGGTTTGGGCATCCCTTCTGATCCTGGAGTAACCGGGGGAAGGGGGTGGAAAGGCTAACCCCCAGAACAGAGGCAGAAAGCATTTAGCTCCTGGGCAGAGGTTTGAGATTGGAAGCATGGTTACAGAAAAGCAAAAAATGAGCCTAATTATTGGAATTTGAGCAAAATGTTAAAGCAGGTGGGAACTAAGTGACAAAGGACAGGATTAGTCTCTGAACTTGGGATGGTTTTGACTTTGCTCCTAGTAGTGTATGTCCCATATGTGTTTTTCAGGGTGACAGCAGCAAGAATTCAGGCAGATCCTTTCCTTCATGGTGACACTTTCATTTATTTATTTTTGAGGTCAAAAAGAAAATAACAGGTGTTGAATAAAATGTGGAGGAAGTATAACCTTCAGGCATTGCTGCTGTTTGGAAGTGGCTCAAAATCATTGAAAGTAGAGATTCTAGCAGATATTTGTATATCCATGCTCACAGCAACATTGTTCACAACAGCCAAAAGGTGGAAACCACCCACATGTTCTTGAATAGATGAAGGGATAAAAAAAATGTGGCCTATACGTACTACAGAATATTACTTCAGCATCAAAAAGGAAGGGGACTCTGACACACCACACCCTGGATGATCCTTAACAACATTATGAGAGAAATAAGCCAAATACAGAAGGGCAAATGCTGTATAATTCCCTGATGTGAATATCTACAAGAGTCAAATTTTCATGCAGATGAAAAGTGGCATAGAGATTACCTGGGGCAGAGGGAGGGGGTGGTGAGAGTTCCTGTTTAATGGGTACAGAGTTTCTGTTGGGATCACTGAAAAGTTCTGGATGTGGATAGTGGTAATAGTTGCAGAACAATATTGTGAATATACTTCATGCCACTGAATTATACACTTAACGGTGAAGATGGTAAATTTTACGTTATGTGCATTTTACCAAAGTTTTTTAGAAAGGACCTTTTTTAAAAAAGGGAGTTTAAAGCACACCTTGCAAACTAAGTAAATTCCCATAAATCAAAGTCAACTGGATTTAATTATAAGATCACTGAGGCCAGGATACAAAGCAACAGAGTTTGCCTTTTCTGGTCATTTGAAGATCATCTCAGGGTAAACCCCAAACTCAGAGGCTTGTGTATGGTTGATTGAGAGGCAAGAAGCACTGTCCTTAGATCCAAATGGCTATAGTGTTGAATTCTCTCAGCAGCAGAGGATTCAAAGAGGAAGGTCCCTACCTCCTTCTTTTGCAAAAGTAGGGGAAGGTGAGGGAGGTATGAAAAACCAGGGTATAAAAATTATCAGAAAATAGCATATGTCAAAGGAAAATCATGTCTGGACCAGATCAGAGGGATGATGGAAACAATGGGTAACACAAGAATGAATGAGTTTCTTTACAGCTATACTTTACTGCTCAAGGTTTGGGGGTCATCTGTAAATTAAGGGACCAAAACTGGATGAACGAAGTCTATAAATGAAAGGACCAATTTAGAAACTGTTACTAAGGACTTCTTTTCAACAGAATATTTTCAGAATCCAGAGAAGGTATGAACTCAGAGTCAAAGAGGAATGCTAATGCCAGGATCTCAAGGAAAGTAGGAAGAAACACACAATTGAAGTGCAGTCGCCACTCCTCTAACATTGACAAATGTGATCCAGTTAAGAGGATGGTTAGGTCTGCTGGCCAGCTAGCACTAACTCTTCTTAATAAAAGCAAACATCTGTAATGATTCTCAGGAGCCTATGGGAAGCAGGTAAAATGACTGATTTAATGATAATCATCCTAAGAGATAGAAGAAAAAAAAATTATTAGTGACAGGCCCAACCATAAAATGTATCCACGCATTTTAGTTGGAATGAGCCAATGAGCAGTTTACCCTCTGCCTTTTTTTTTTAGATAAATGAGAAGACTGGCATTCATTAGAACTGAATGATTCATGGAAGCTTTCATGATTTGTGGTCAAGACGAGTCACAGAATTATCCACAAGGCACAGAAAGAGCTGATGAATTGAAGAAACATCATTTTGAAAAGAGAGAGAAGAAAGGAAGGATCAAGAAAATGGATGATTTGGACAATTCATGGTTTCCTTTCAAAATATATATATATATATATATATATATATATTTATGAAGTGCCGGTAAATCTGATGAATGTACAATCACATTATTTATCAGTACAGCTGTATCCCAGGACTCAGTGAGTGGAGAAAATTTTTAAATAATTAGAAAATGAAGGAGAGCTGTTTATGATGATAACAGAACTGCAGGAAAGGTGGACTTAGCACGGTTTTAGATACTTGGAAAACATCGCAGTGGCAATAGTAGAAATAAGGAAGTAAAGATGGTGAAGATCAGGCTGCAGAAAGTGAGGCTAGAGCCAATCAAATAATGAAAACATAGGAATAAGTGGGCACGAAGAAGCAGAGGACAGACTGGTGAGAAACCTAGGGACAAGCACTGAAAGACTGATGAGGAAAACAGACTCTGGGCATTGTTACCATGTGACAGATTTGCAACTTAAGTAAGAAGACAGGATAAGGCTGATAAAAACAGATCTGCTTCCAATTTTTCTATATATTCATTACATATGGCTTGGGCTAGAAGAGTTTATCATTCTGTTCATACAGAATTTGTATGAATGGCTTCATCAAAGAGCAGGGGCCGAAGACTCTGAAGAAGGGCTTGTTATTTACAGCTGGATGGAAGAAGAGCCAGACAGGTTCAACACGGAATCATTGTGCAGTTGGAAGCCAGGGCCGTTTGGTACTCTCACATTTCAGTGAGTAAGAAAGGGTAGAAAGCTGTATCTCCAGGAAAAGTTCCAAATGCCACATGCCGGAAGACTGGCGAAAGGGGATTTTCCCTTCTAAGGTGACCTTTTCCTGACGAGGGAAGGCATAATCTGAGAAGAGGTAAGGAAGTTCAAGGAAGGTGAAACGAAGGTCAAATTTTGAAAACGAAAGATAATTCTGGGGCCAGATGGCTACAAAAAGAGAAAAAGGGATGATTCAGAGTCATGTGGAAAAAAAAGGAGGAACACAAAGGAAGACTGCTCACTGAGGTTTGGCATAAGGATTGCGATGCAGGAAAATACTGAAAAAAAGATGCTGGGAACAAGTTTGTAAGTAGTTCCATTGAGGGGCAACGGGGAGTTTGTTGGAAATGGGAAAGAGCCGTAATAGACTATGTGAACATGCATTTTTTTTTAATCTAGAAAGAAAATAAAAAGAAAACTCTTCAAGCCTAAGGTAGGATATAAAAGTGCTTTGAATCATTCTATATAAAGGTAAGTTATTATTATAGACTGTTTAGTTGAACATTTCCTAACAAAGAACAACCAATCCAGGATTTAAAGAGTAAGACTGCATAGTCTGAAAGAAGAATTAGGTTCGACTGTAAAGGAACCAGTTGATGGTAGCTAACCAAGAACTCTTGATCCTTCTGAAAAATTTCAATGACATGACTGTAAGGTTTGCCAGCTTCCTACTGTTCTCTGGTTGACCAGCTGTTGCAGGCTTGCAATAAAGAAATCTGAGCTTACGTAAGAGTTTATGAGAAAACAGGTGGGAGAGAGATGCCACTGCCCAGACCAGAGGCAGGCAACTTTTCGGAAGTGGAATGCCAAGTGGCTGGCTGACCGTGGCTCTTCAGGTCAGTGGTGAGGGGTGGGGCCCTGAGGGGTGAGGATACTGGTAAGTATCCTTCTAATAGCACCTCAATCTCCTGTTCAAAATGTGCTCTCAAGCTTTCATATTCTGTTTCCATCTTCCTTCCGACCCTTGTTTCCTAAGGTAAATCCTGTTAGGGAAAGCTAAATCCATCTGGCCTTCACCTGTCTGGGTAGCTACATCAGGTTACTCTCTCTAGAGCCAAAGCCGAGAGCATTTGTCCTGCCTAGACTGCAAGGATTTCCCCGGGAAACTGAGGAAGTGGACACCATCAAGGATGGTGCATTTGAAGAGAGGACAAAACCTAGGCCAGTAGATAGTGGGATATGAGGATCATAGGACGCAGGGAGAGAAGGCACAGAAAGTGAGGGAAGCATAGAGACAGGAGGTGAGGGGGAAAAACCTGTTTGCAACGAAGACAAGCCCCAGGGGTGGTAAACGCTCTGGATTTACTATGAAGTGACCTTGGGAGAAACCTGAAGCCAAAGACCAAAGACCATGGTTTGCCAATGTGTGGGCCAGCCAGTGACCTAAAAGCCCTGGTAGGAATTGCCAGTTAGCACCAAGCTAAAAACCTAGCCTAATCATGGACCAGCCAGGCAGAACCAATAAAGGTGCCATTTGTGATCATATCTGATCCTCTGAAAGCATGTAATATATCTGACCCAGGGATTTGGGGATGAAAAGAACTCTTAGCAGAATATACATTTCCTATTTATTGTTACCTTTTATTTTGACAGTAAAACTAGAGGAGAGTAAGTTGTTGAGTAGATTGCTCTTAAAAGAACACAACCAACAGTTGAAACTTGAATTAGGAAATTAGGGGCATAACCTGAAACATACCAGTATTACCTAATATCCCACATAGGTCCATAGATTACAAGCCCTTTCTTTTTTCCATTTTATTTCCTCCTGGGAAAACTTAAATCCATTATTTTATTACTCTGTGTATCAAGTCACACTACCTCATAATTTTCTCAAATTCACTTTTCTCTGAGCTTTAAAGGGGAGGTCTACCATTCCAATATTCCATGGGGTGACAGATAGGTTTATAATTTCCCAATCCATGTTTTTCCCCCATATAATTGAGACTGAGTGCAAATCTGTCTCCATCTTGAAGGTATTTCAAGGACCAGAAATTCTACAACAATGTTGATGTTTCCCTCAAGGGCCCGAAATTTCAGGTTTTAAAGTCCCATTCATCTTCAGTGATTACAGGATGCAGTAGGAGAATATGTAGGGTCTTCTATTTTTATACTAAGACTTTTATTGGACTGAATTTCAGTCACACATTCCTGTGTTTGACAACCATAACCTCTTCTCTTTTCTGATTCTATGGAAATTACACCCAAAGTTCTGGGGCTTCTAGAAAATGTGGCTGTAAGAATTTGCCTTCCTTTGCAACTCTGGTCCGTTTGTAAGCCATAGCACATCCATCTGAATTCAGCTGCCTCAGGGAAAAGGAGCCATTTACTTCTGTCCCTTGACCCTTTGGTTGTGTCAGGTGACAGGAAGTATTGTCACATCACTGTCCTGGAGGCAGATTGGACCTGCAAGACTTGAACCTGAAAAAGCCTTTGGAATTGTTTTATTGAAATGTGATTTTTCCACCTCACACTGACTGATTCCACATCCCAGATACGCAATTACCCATTTGTCACAAACGGCTCCAGTATCTCAGTTGTAAAAATCCAGTTCAGTGGTGTTTCTTTTTCTATTTTTACACTAAGTACTCCTCTTGGCAATGTATGACATTAACTATTGATGGAGTCCTTCTAGACTTGGAGAAAGAAAGGTTTTCAAGAGAATAACCCAGAGGGGTGAGGGGAAGAATCACTAGCCAAGTACTGATCAGAATCTGGTGCTCAGACCTGCCCCAGATGCACACTGGTTGTGACTAGGTTTTCTTGTTGTTAAACCCTCAGCATTACTGACATTTTGGGTGGGGTGATTCTTTGTAGTGGGGGCTCTCCTGTGCATGAGAAGATGTTTAGTAGCATCTGTGGCATCTGCCCACAAGAAGCACCCTACACTATTCCACCCTGGGACAACAAAAATATCCCCAGACATCACCCTGGGCTGCCAAATCATCTTTTGTTGAGAACCACCTTCTTAAATATTAGTTTCTTCATCTGTAAAGTGAAAGTGAAGAGCTGCTGTTGATTTAAGGTGGAATGATGCATTCAAAAGAGTAATGTGCTACATGAATATAAGGTATGATTATTTAATAGACACATTTCTTTGTTCACACATTGAATTTTAGATATCTTCACAGGTAACAGATTTGGCCAGTCTCAGCTGACCAATGAAGTTGTATAGCAGAATTCCATCCTCTTTACAGCTGCAAAATCAAGAGTTAAGAATTTATAGATGCATTGATGCTTTAACCCTCTGCATAACCAAAGAAAAGATTCAAGCACCAAATGGGGATTTGATCAATTAGGTTTATTCTAACTTTGAAGATCTTTGAAAATAAAGAAATTAGAGTGGGATTAATACTCCTAGAATAATAAACATCCATTCCCTAGAATCATAATAACTCCCAGTTATTAGAGTAAAATTAATTTCCTTTTAAAGTTACTGGTTTTCTGGAGAACTCATATGCTATAGACAGGTCCTCAGAAGCAAACTGCTCAGAATGGAGCTGTAGACCTCTGGTTGTTCTGGAGATGTTAATTCTCCACCTTTGCAAAGAGTTAAGGAGGTGAGAAGGCATAGCAGGGAAGCAGACAGCATAGAGGAAGGATGGCCAAGGTGCTCAAATCAAGAGCAAAACCTATTGCTTGGTATAGTTAAATGGATGAAAGAAATCTGAAATCTGAAGGCAAGTCTGTGCATAGTAGCAGCAGGTACCACACTTGACCCTTTGGTTGTGTCAGGTGACAGGAAGTATTGTCACATCACTGTCCTGGAGGCAGATTGGACCTGCAAGACTTGAACCTGAAAAAGCCTTTGGAATTGTTTTATTGAAATGTGATTTTTCCACCTCACACTGACTGATTCCACATCCCAGATACGCAATTACCCATTTGTCACAAACGGCTCCAGTATCTCAGTTGTAAAAATCCAGTTCAGTGGTGTTTCTTTTTCTATTTTTACACTAAGTACTCCTCTTGGCAATGTATGACATTAACTATTGATGGAGTCCTTCTAGACTTGGAGAAAGAAAGGTTTTCAAGAGAATAACCCAGAGGGGTGAGGGGAAGAATCACTAGCCAAGTACTGATCAGAATCTGGTGCTCAGACCTGCCCCAGATGCACACTGGTTGTGACTAGGTTTTCTTGTTGTTAAACCCTCAGCATTACTGACATTTTGGGTGGGGTGATTCTTTGTAGTGGGGGCTCTCCTGTGCATGAGAAGATGTTTAGTAGCATCTGTGGCATCTGCCCACAAGAAGCACCCTACACTATTCCACCCTGGGACAACAAAAATATCCCCAGACATCACCCTGGGCTGCCAAATCATCTTTTGTTGAGAACCACCTTCTTAAATATTAGTTTCTTCATCTGTAAAGTGAAAGTGAAGAGCTGCTGTTGATTTAAGGTGGAATGATGCATTCAAAAGAGTAATGTGCTACATGAATATAAGGTATGATTATTTAATAGACACATTTCTTTGTTCACACATTGAATTTTAGATATCTTCACAGGTAACAGATTTGGCCAGTCTCAGCTGACCAATGAAGTTGTATAGCAGAATTCCATCCTCTTTACAGCTGCAAAATCAAGAGTTAAGAATTTATAGATGCACTGATGCTTTAACCCTCTGCATAACCAAAGAAAAGATTCAAGCACCAAATGGGGATTTGATCAATTAGGTTTATTCTAACTTTGAAGATCTTTGAAAATAAAGAAATTAGAGTGGGATTAATACTCCTAGAATAATAAACATCCATTCCCTAGAATCATAATAACTCCCAGTTATTAGAGTAAAATTAATTTCCTTTTAAAGTTACTGGTTTTCTGGAGAACTCATATGCTATAGACAGGTCCTCAGAAGCAAACTGCTCAGAATGGAGCTGTAGACCTCTGGTTGTTCTGGAGATGTTAATTCTCCACCTTTGCAAAGAGTTAAGGAGGTGAGAAGGCATAGCAGGGAAGCAGACAGCATAGAGGAAGGATGGCCAAGGTGCTCAAATCAAGAGCAAAACCTATTGCTTGGTATAGTTAAATGGATGAAAGAAATCTGAAATCTGAAGGCAAGTCTGTGCATAGTAGCAGCAGGTACCACACGAAGGCAGGAATTCCTGTTCTGGAGGGAACTTTGAGTATACTGACTCCAGGTCTTCATACATTTTGCTGGGATCTGTAACTTCTAACACTGCTATGAAATCTTAGAAGTTAGAAAATTTTCCTGGAGTGCTCTGTAGTCATTCATCTTAAAAATAATAGGAATTAAAAAAAAATCTCCATGCTAAAAGAGGTGCTTTGCACTCAATTCTGTTCTTTTATTAATTCTTCACATACAGAGAGAAAGACTGCTAATACAGTTGTTAGATGTCTTTGTTTCTTTGTTGCAAGTCATGTTTGCATTATGTCAAGGTTATAAAAGAATCAGCATCAATCAACAAAACAAGTTAAGAGAAAAGATGAGAAAGGTTTAAAAATGAGTATCTTATTGCTGGTAGTGATGATTGAAGTAGAACAAAACAAGTTGTTGCATTGGAAAGCTGAGGTCATGGAAGGGAAGGAAATCAGCTGGAAAAGGGGGCCTGGATTTGAGTTTTCTTAACTCCTCTAAATGGGATATTAGCACATAAATCCAGAGAGGTGGGGCAATGATGCAAAGACTAGAAACTCAAATTATTATTTTCCCCCTCATTTTAATCCTTTATCCATCTTCTCAAGTGATATTTACTTCAGCTGAATGTAGTATCTATAGTAAATGCACACTTGTACCACATATATTTAAACAACTTCAGTTTTCTTTTAATTGACAACATTGGAGCATTGGAGGAGAAAAAGAATATTATTTTAGAATACTAGAGTGTCTGGTCCTTTAAATTTTGGCAGATATGGAAAACATCCATGAGACAGGAGACATTTTCCTCTTGTGTTTAAACCTGTAATAAAATGTGGCTGACAGACTAATTATAAATGTTTTATATATTTTGCACATATGTGCTCCTCTCTAAACCAATTTAATTCCCATTAATGCTAATCTTGTTAATGCCCACTCAGAGAGAAAAGGAATACTCTTTATAAACTATTGATTTATTTGAGCTATTTAAATGGGGGATGGGCAAAAACAGATAGAAGAAAATCCACCATTTTACCCACATTTATATTTCTTAGAATAATTTCCAAATATTAATGAATACTAGGTTATATGTGGTGTGAGTAGGAAATGGGGAAAAATTAAAGTGACAAAGTGACATTCCATCACCCATGAAAAATAATGGTGCTGTAAATAAAACATTTATTATATTTTTTCTAGCTCCAAGGGTAGAAATGAAACAGTTCAAAGAGAAGCAGATTTTCTTCGTTAAAAAGGAGGTCAAGGAAAATGAGATTCATACCTATAAGCTCTTACTGAAGTCAAGGTTTTACTTAAAAAGAAAAAAATCAAACAACCAGTATGTGAATTATGCTCCTACCATATATTGTCCTGTTCCTATTGTGATTGCCACTTCTATCTCTGTACAAGAATCCCATAATTTCCCTCACCCTCAATCAAGCTGAGATTTCCACATCTCAGGATACTTTACCAAGCCAACATCTGCTCTTGAATGGTGTCGTGTCCAAGTCTGAGTGGTTTCCTTGAACATTTGTGACTCCTTGTGACTGAATGCCATGAGGTAAGCCTGGCACTGAGAAAGCAGTAGGAAACCTTCCCTGTCCCCAGCTAGCTAACCATTTCTAAAGGTACAGAGGCTATTTCCCATCCCCCCGGAGAAATGTGGCATCAACTAGGAACAAGTGGAAGATGGGATTTTGTCCAGGGGCCACCATCTGGCTTTAAGTCTTGTAACCTTCTTGAGACTCAGCTTCCTTATCTGTAAAATGGGGACAATAATCTTTTTGTACCATTGTTAGAGCATGTAGCAGAGTAAGGATGGGAAAAGGTGTTTTATTTGAAAGCACTGAGACAACTGGGAAGTGCTGTGCAAACAAACATGCAGTATCATTAATTGGGAAATGTTTTTTTAAAAATGGCACAGAAAAAAAAATAGAGGGAGAAAAGCGTAAGGTTAGAAAGATACCAATGTTCTAGGGGCCTTTCAATAGAGAAGGAGAAAGGTTTGTTCTCCAGATTTTCTGCAAAGTTTTAACGGCAACTGATGCTCATGCTTTATAATTGTGTACATAAAACATAAAATACACATTGAAAACTTAAAGTGTGAAAGTGAGTGAAGTTTTCCTTGCTTATCCAAATGTTTGGCGTGAGTGAAACAGGAAGATGGGGCAGAGGCGAGAAAATCCCTTAACATTCATTGAAAAAAATACTGAAACCAATATTTTCAGCACAAATATTAAATGGCCTTTTTCTCTACCGATTGGTAAAAAAATATATTATATCTTGATATTTTCTTTTTTCTTTTTAAATTATATCATTATCCGTCCCAGCCGAAGTCCTGCCCGGTCATCTGGTAGAACTTGAGGTTGAAGGGCCGGTAGAAGTCGCGCAGCCTGCGCACCACCTCGCCGTCAATGTCGGGGTGCGTCCTGCCCTTGGTCTTGCCCAGGCAGTGGGGCTTGCTGCTCCCCTCGGCCTTCTTCAGGCAGGGGAAGCCCTTGGTCTTGTTGAAGTAGAAGTGCTTGTCCGTGATGATCCTCTTGAGGCCCAGGAAGTCCTGCACGCGGCCCAGCTCGCCGGCCGGGTCGCGGATGAGCCGCTCGCCGCTCACGAAGAGCATCTGGCCGAGCGGGAAGTGGCGCAGCCAGTGCTCCAGGTGCTTGGCGTAGATGCCGATCTGGATGGCGCTCCAGGACGTGTCGATGAGGCCCGCGCTGCGGTTGCGGAACGTCAGGCTCTCGAAGGTGGGGATGTCGGGCCGCTTGGACAGCGTCTGCGTGTAGTCCGAGATGGCCCTTGTCACCGGGTCGCGCACCACCACGATGAGCTTGGTGTCCTTGGACATGGCCGAGATGCGCGCCGGTGCCTCCCGGGTGACGAAGTAGCTGGGCGTCTTCTCCATGGTGATCTGCCCGTCCAGGGTTCTGGGCATCAGCTCCCTGGGCAAAGCAAGCAGACCAAACGGGTCAGGAGGTGACGATGCCTCTTGGGCTGGGCGCGTCAAGGTCAACACTTCTAACCCCCACTCCCTCTTATACTGGGAACAGCTGTGGCAACATGAGAAAATGCAGCAGAATTTCAGGGCTGCAAGGTGTATTAACGTCCCACCCGAAGTCTGGAGGTCAGACACTATCTACAGGAAATGTGCCAGCACCTTCCAATAAGGTATAAACAGGGAGACACAAGTTTCCCTAAGATCCTCTGGTGGGTGTTACCTCTCCCTTATTTTTCAGAGTGTCCAGCTTTCAGAGGGCCCCAAACTTCTGGTGGAAGAACCCAAGGCCTTTGGCCTCTGGCTATGAGCCTGTTCTGCATAACAGCTCCTGGAGCTCCTGGAGATTTTGCTGTCCAAGTCCTCACCTGCCTGCCTGCCTTCTCGGGCTCACCAGGCTGAATTTCCTTCAGGAAATGTCCCTGTGCCCCAGTAGGCTGTGGTGGCTTCATCACAGGGACCGCTGAAAAATGCCGTTGCCGCAGAGGGCGGACCTGAAGGCCACTGAGCCCAGAGCAGCCCGAAAAACATCAGGTGAAACCACATGGAGTTTAAATACGCAAACTTGCTAAGAGGAATTCTCAAGGCACAACTCTAGAAGCTTCCAAAAGCACTTTAGGTTCCATTAAAAAATAAAGACATGTATGATATCTATTAAAGCACTAATTTAAACAAAAGTATGTAGACAAGACTGTTATAACCCACAGGAGATACGGGCCGTGATATCCAGATGGTCAAAAAGTCGTAATTAGCACTAAAAATAACATGAATCAATGATGTAAGACTGGTTCTGATTTGCTCCCTGAGTCTCAGCATCCTAACCTGTGAAATGGAAATAATTTCCACCTGCTTCACTGAGCTGTTAAGAGATATGCCAAAGCGGTTTGCCTGAACAGTCCAGGAAGGTGGGCTTAGAAGTCAGACTGCCTGGGTTCAAATCCCAGCTGTGTCACTTTGAACAGCCAGATAACTTTTCTGGGCTTCTTTTCCTCATCTGTAAAAATGAAAATGACAGTTCTTTCCTCACTGGAGTGTAATGAGGATTAAAACAATTAATGAGCATAACATGCCTTGAACATGCCTGACACATGGTATGTACTTGGCATATACTAGCTACTAATACTATCATAATATTACCATAATTCTAGTGCTCAATACAAGGATTATAGCACACAGTAGGACCAAAGTTGAGCATGTGTACCCACCAGTGTGCACACATCAAAGGAAAAGGAGATGTGTTAGCTAAGTAGACAGTAAGTTTAGGTCACAGATAGGCAATCTTCTATTAGCTATGGGAGAGAGATTTCTAGGTGTCTCTTACCCAGGCCCAGGGATTTTAAAAAAAGACAAATTTTAAAAAGAAAAATCATTTATCTCCTAGTAGGATCTGAACTTCCAGCTTCAAGCCATCCCTAATCTACTGAGACCACAACTCCTCTATTGAGCAATTTATAGAAACGATGATACAAACTTTCCATCACCCCAGCCAGAAAGGGCAACGCCCTAGAGAGGGCTGCCTCTTCCCAGCACATTAGAGGAAGGAGGCTCTTCCCTTAAGAAAGACTGCCTCACAACTCTGCAGCCATCCCTGGCTTAAACTAAAGCCAGATTGACCCACTTTGCCAATTAACCACTTAGATTAATGTAGCAGGGTCATCAGGCTAATGTGACTAAGTAGTAAAGACAGGCTAGCTCTCAATTTATTTTGCATTTTTCCCCAAAGCAGGTGAGTCCAATAAAGCCCACTTTATCTCCTTTTTTTCCCCTGTGTTAAGCCATCTGCAACTGGACAGCCTACACAAGTTTAATATTCAGGATCAAGGTGCTATACCACTGTGACTGAAGGAAATTCAGCCCCCAGAGGCCTTCAGGGCATGGCAGAGGGCCAGGCTTGGTGTCTGTCCTCAGAGTCCATCTGAGCTAGCACAGGCTTTGAAGTCAGCCTATTGATTTGACTCTCAGCATCCCCACTGCTCAAGGTGTGTGACCCTGGATAGGTCACTTAACCTGCCCATGCCTCAGTTCCCCCCAACTGAATCATGAGAAAAATGATGATGTGAAAAGGTTGTAAGGCTAACCTTGGTGACAATGCTGGTAGCTAGTTGGTGCCAATAAAATGTTATCAATTATCTTCTGTTGACAGCATCAGATCAGATGTAAGAAAGCAAGGCTCACACAGGGGACTGCCCGCTCCCTCAGCCCCATCCCACAGAGGAGCAATGGGGAGGGCTCGTCTCCTGTGAGATGCGGACGTGCAGGAAAGCCGGACTCTGCTCTCAGCCTGCCGGGGCTCCAGAACCATCTCTGATCCTTTGCTGCCTGCATTTCCTCAACGTCCTTAAAGAGGGGCCTGGCAGTAACTGAGCAACATGGCTGCATGGGCAATTGTGAATAAGAATCCACATAACAGGACTGGTCAAGAGGACCTGAGATACCCACTGCCTTCCATCCAAAGCCAAAACTTCCTTGGCCATAGGAAAAATTCCCTGAGCTTGACCACCTGCTGATCTCCCAGCTTTCCTGGGGTACCAGCTCCAGGGACCGCTCTCCCCAGGGTGGCCTAGAGTTTGGGCACAAGCACTCAAGGGGCCTCAGGACTTTCTCTGCCTCTCACAATAACAACCAGAACCCCTGCTGTGACAGCACCTTCTCAGCCCTTGTCCACCATCAGCTCCTGGCTGCTCTCCCGACACCGAGAGGCTGACAGACGAGAAGCATGGCTGGCTCCTCCACCATAGTGGCAAATACCTCCTGAGCCCTCTCCACCGGCTCCAGGGGCACCCGATGGAGGGCAATGCATATCGAGCCGCAGTGAGTGTCCCCAGTGGGACCCCCCTGTGGAGCTGCCAGTGGGTGGGGTGGGGGGGAACACAGCACAGCTGAGAAATATGTGCAGAGTTCCTGGCCCCAAACCTTCCAGGCAGCTCCCGGACAAGTCTCCTTCCTCCCCTTCAGCTGCTCTTCTCCCCCGACCCCACTGCCACCACCACCACCCGGTCCTGGAGCAAAGCCCTGTCCATCTCTTCCTGGCCACCTTCCTCCTCCCCTCCCTTCATTGACTCCCTCTCCTGTCCTGACACTCAAGCCTCTTTGAGCACAGCAGTGGCTTGGAGAAAGGACAAGGACATGGCCGAGGGCAAGACCCCATCACATGGGCCCTGTGTGCCGTCCCAGCAGCCCCCACACCAGCCCAGTAGCCCCAGGCAGGACCCCTGAGCCAGCAGGGAGGTTGCAGGTTAATTGAGCTGCTCATTATGAAAGCCAGTTTCTCAAACTGATCGCCAGAGATACGCTTTGCAACTTGCAAAGTAGCTTTCACCCCTCCCAGCAAGCCTTTGAGGTAGGTACTGCAATCACCCATTTACTAATGAAACAGACCAATGAAAAGGGTGACTCGCCTTGGGGCGGGTCACCAGCCTGCAGATGGAATGGGGACTTAGAGCCAGCCCCTCTGAGGCTTTCCTTTCCCTCAACTGTCTCCCCTCAAGCTCCTCTAGTTGTTCTTAATATGACAGAGAGCACACAGAGCCAAGACCTGTGTGTTCTTCTCACTCACAGATCAGGGTCTTAGTAACAGATATTTCAGTGCTAGAATTAGATGACTGCGGTCATAATTGTTCAGCTGTGAGTCAGATCTCATAACAACAGACCTCTTGGGCTCACAAAAGTCAGTTAGCTGCATTATAGGGCCTCGAATAGTAGCGATCATGGCAACAGCATTTCCCCTCCAGCACCCCCTCTTTACCACGGGGGAGGAAGGGACACCTCTTTGACACCTGCCACACATCACCTGTGGGTGCTTGTAATCCAGTGGGGCCAGACAGCATTCCCAGCGCAAGTCTAAGGGAGACATGCTCACACGTAAGAGACAAGCCTGAGAGATCCTGACCGGTCAGATAGGGTGACAGAAAGCAGAAAAACCCTACTTCCTCAATAAGATCTGAGGGGCAAAGCAGGCTTGTCACGTCATCAAAGACTGGCAATGACCCAGTGATCTTCTAGGAACAACAGTGACCTCCAAAACCCAAACCAGGTGGGTTTGGAGGGAGTACCAACGGTTTGCAACTTGTTTGAGGATATGCTCTGGAAAGTGACGTGCCACCACTGTGGTGGCCAGTTTCAGCCCTGGTTGCATAGGAGGATCTCCCAGGTGCTTCAAACTGAATACCTGGGCTCCATCCCAACCAAGGGAACCATGGAAATCTGTTAGTTGATTCTAATGTGCAGCCAGCATTTGAAATCATTTTTCTGTGCTATCTATGAGCCTGTCACACACTTGTTTATTCTGCTGATATTCTGAGCACACTATGTGGGTATGAAGGGCCACATGGTAAAAAAAAAAAATAGAGAAAACAGTATTGTGAATGGAACTGAAAGCTGCTCAACTAATCCAAGACTTATTATTTGAGTCAAAGGCCTAGAGTGAAGTCCAGAGAACCTAGGGTCCCATTCCCTTGGTCAAAAGCAGACCGGGTTCCAGAGTGAAGCCTGTGCCCCAGTGGCCTACAGGTTGCAGAGAAGAAATAAAACAATCAATACAAATAAAACACAGGCTTAATGCAAAGAGAAGAAAAGTATGTTTCTTGCCACTAAACACATGTGTTTAGTGCACACCCATGTATGTGCACACCCGTGTATGTGCACACCCAGACTCACACACATACAACTTATCAAATACAAATCAGCTGCCAGTAAGACAAAAAGAGGCAGACAAAGGAACTGAAAGAAAGAAAGAAAAGGCCATTTCTACAGATGTGCATGATTCTTCTGTCATCATGAGTTAGATGATATCACTGTAAACAGAACAAAGGAAAATGAACAGGTGAGGAACTAGACTAGGGCTAGACTATCTGGCTTAATGCTTTTGCTAAAGTCCATGGATTAAAATGAAATACACTCTCTTTTGTTTAACAAAACTGCAACTAAAATGCATGAATGTCCAAAATG